CTGCAGGCTTCCTTGGTAAAGTCCATTTCCTCAGCTTCCCCTTGCTCCACAGGTAAGTTCTTGGGTTAAGATGGTTTATGGATAAATTTGGGACACCTACCTACCCTTCACAGATTTGCTCTTGAATAACATTTGACTCTTTTTGAGAGATTAATTTCAGGGTCCTTGGAAAAGAAAACCCCAACAATGAAACATCAACRACGATATGGGCAGTGGCAAAACATTCCTGGATATTTTCTTCATCTATTGTCAAATAAGGAAGATAAATTCCTCATCACTAATGTACTAAGAAAAGGGGAACGTAACTGATCAACCACTTAAGTGAACRCCTTCCACCCTCTTCCCCAAACTCGATCAAAACCCACCACTATCCTCCTCACTTTCTGCTCTAAATTCACTTTATTTTCCCCATGCCAAGGGCAGGATGCTGGGCTCACATACACAGCAGCTTYCTTCTGCCACCCCTTGTAATTCACTACTACTTACAGTGACTGCCTTGATGTGGGGCACTCCGGCCCCTCAGCGTTGCAGCTCCTTCACCCTCTGTCCAAGCCCGTGTCTCCAGCCTGCCATGTGCAGTGTCCTCCTCCAGTGYCCCCCACTGCTGCTGGCTCCTTCCCCAGCACCTCCACAAGCACCCAGTCGCTCTGGAGCCACCAGGGCTGCTCAGAGCTGGYTGGGATCGGTTCTGACCACCCCAGGCAGGTCCTGGCCGCCTCCCACCACACAGGCCACCCCCAAGCCCCAGCCTGGGACCTGTCATGWTCTGCCCAACACTGAGTCTGAATGACAGTTCTTTAACACCCAACTGTGGAGCAAGGACTATGGGCGGCCTTCTCATTTCATAATTGTAATAACCTGCAATGAGTTGGAAGCATGGGGGACAGGGAGACATCTCCAGGTGTCAGCTTGAGTGAATAGGCCTTACTTAGAGTGAATTACACAAAGATCAACATAAGCTCACATAGGGCTGGCCAAATAATTCACAAAGTAGGTTAACGTGAAGTTTGCAGTTCCGCAGAAAGAGGCCAAAGTCATTTATTTTGATGAATCACTGCTTGCTTGTGTGGTAACATCAGAATGRCTTTCCAGCCCAACCAGGGTTGTATGGTTCAGGTGTCAATGGTCTAAGATGGACTATGTGGAAGGCCTAACCAAGACAGGAGTCTTTTATTGTCCATGAAGAGAACATGACTCCCTCCAGCCCCTCTTTCCATCCTGTCTGTGGGACTAATTTTTTGGCCACCGCTWGTGTATGCGGGCAAAGGGTACTAAGAGACAGCAGGGTTTGTCCTTCCACTATCAGTGTGGAGGTGCTTGCACCATCTCAGTGCCTTAGACTGCTTAAGAGCTTGCTCTTGAAAGCATTCAAGAAAGGCCAGTATCCATGGCTGACCCAGCTCAGTCTGGTGTAGAACAGCAGCTACTAGTGTGGGGGCCTGGAAATGCTCACTTTATTGTACAAGGTTATAATTTTGCTGTGCTCTGTTAAGTCTGACAACAAAGATATCCCTCTGGTTGAAATCATGGTGATGAACAAGCTAGTAAGGTCTTTGCCACACAAAAGTTCCACTTAGCAATTAAAAAGCCCCTTGTACTGTTGTTATCCTATGCTTTTTCTCATTTTATAATATGGGGTGCCTGCCAGGGCATCTCATGGGGTTTCTGAGCGGAGCCTYACAAGTGTTTTTCCCTTAGAGCCCTGCCTTTACTGCATCCTGTGTGTGGATTAATCCGCAGTCCTTTAGGCTGGGCACGTTTCATTTATAGAGGAGCTGACCAAACTTGGAGGATTCTGGATGTCGACATTTCCCTATTTAGATATGGATAGACAGGCAYGGACATATTTCCTTTTCCGAATGCCATACAGCAGTTACAGCGCATGTTTACATCCTCATTTTCCTGTGAAACATACATATTTTTAGATGCCAAGCTCTCTGGAGCCAGAACCTACTTTTTCTTCTATTTATAGGGCCCAACAGCCAATGAAGTCCTAATTCCTACCTAGAGCCTAGGTATTCCTGCCTAGAATAGGCAGTACCAGGAGGTAAATAGCATGTTGCGACACCAACACACTGGTCCAAGTAAGCACCATGCTTCCCCTCCATCSTGAGGTTTCCACTTGCTAACTCAGGTTACCATTTTATTTTTCCTTTCGAGTATTTCTCTAATCCCCTCCTCCCTTTCCAGATTAATTCTTTTTTTTTTTCCCCCAAACTCTCTCGGATCCAGGAGGCTGAAAACCCTGCGGTTTCAACCCCAGCACCTGAGGCAAAGGCCTGAGGAGAAGGGCATGGAGGGGAGGGTCCCTGCTCTGTTGGGAAGAGCAGCCGGCCGCACAGAACCCTGTATTAAGGCACGAATGCCCAAAGCGGGAATTAATCCTGGAGTGGGGGGTAAGATTTGTAGGATTCCATGAGGGTTTTGGGCGGGCTGTTTGGGTGGGGGGGGCGCCTCCAGGCGCAGCTCCCTCGCGCGGCCGCCAGGGGGCGCCGCAACTCGGCGGCCTCGCCCGGCGGGGGGGGGAGGAGAGTGGGCGGGGCGCCTGTTGCCGTGGCGACCGGCGGCCGTGGCGGCGCCAGGGCGGGATGGGCGCGCGGTAGGTCCCGAGTGAGGAGCCGCCACCCGCAGCCGTTGACACGGGGACAGGGGGGGGACAGGGGGGCACAGCGGGACGGGGGGCGGCTTCGGGGCGGGCAGTGTGGCCGCAGGGTGCTGCGGAGATTGGTGGTGGCAGCCGAGGGGGCAGAGGTCAGCGCTAAGTGCGTTGTTTGAGCTACAAACACCAGTTTTTGCGTGGGCACAAGCGGCAGCTTAACTACGAGTTACAGCTCCGTCCGGGCCTACACTTGRTGATTTGTTTGCATGGGAGGTGGTAAAGAAATGTTGTTCTCCGTAAAATGGTTTCCCGCTGGTGTAAAATCTGCGGTCAGGTCTCCGTCCCCTCCCGAGGCGCTTCCTTCTCTCACACGTGCGTTTTCTGTAGTTTGCACAATCTAGCAAATCTGTGGCTATTATATGTTCTTGTTCTGTGGCCTGGAGGGCTTCTTAAAGCTGTCACTAGAGCTCACCTGGGGCSTGGCTTTCAAAAATACAAGCCTTTGCCAAATAATGCTGCTCAAAATGTCAGTTCTGCTCCCATCCACTTTTAAGCAGGGGATTAGATTTATCCTTTTAGTGGGAGGGCCAGAGATCAGGAAAAAGTCAGGGATTGCTGTAGTGATCTGCAGTTTCTAAGGAAAATCACTAAAATACATGCTCAAAAGCAGAATCAACCCCCCCCCCCCCAGTTAATTCTGGAAAATCTATCAGATGTTTATGCATTCGGGCTGGAAATTTCTAAGGGCAGTTAAATACCTAACTCTTTGTCTCAGTGAATGCGTTAACTCACATCATGTATTTTTTCTTTAAATCCCCATTTTACAACATTCAGCATCTCCAGCATTACAACACGGTGTTGACAGTTTCTAAAATCTTTTTTATTTTAAAAATAAAAAAGTTGCCCAGTATTTTAAAAATAYTGTATTTGATGAAGCTAAATTTGTGTTGTTACCTATAAAGGTTTCTGGGCAAGTTAAGGACTTACATACCTTCAAATCAAAGGGCTTCTTTTCATAGGGTGTCAAGGAGCTCTAGTGCTGTCACATGGGGATGCTGTGACAGAAGCATGATTGCAAGGAAGCCCCACAGTAGAAATATCTTACTCATGTAGCAACCATGTAAATTTTGATCTGGAACACTTCAGAAATTGAAGATACTGCCGTYGAGATCCAGCATTTTCCAAATCTGCATAAATGGAGTTTACTGTAGCTGCAGTTTAAATGCTTAGATGGTGCAAACACCCAGTGATGGCTCTAGAAGATTATTCCGATGAATGTGAATATGTCTTTAGCCAGAAAACAGACAAAATCTCTCTGCAGAAGTAGGTTTCCAGAATAGTGGAAGTTTTTCTGGATAAAACATTAGGAATAAGCTGTTCAAAGGTGCAAGGAGCTGTGTCGATTTCTCTGCCTTGTTTCAGGGTATGGTCAATGCAGGGAGAAGCATGTGCAAGTGTATGGATTAGGCTGCACCTGCCACTAGTTGGTTTAATCCCATTCCCTTGATTATTGATTGATGGATATGCTGCTTTCCACATATTAGCTTTTATTTCCATATGTTCATTTTAAGCATCCAGCCTACTGAATATTTAATTATGGAAAAAGCTGATAACAATCTTACCTATTGGTGTAATAATTGTGAAAATACAGAACTTCAACAGAAAGGCGGTTTAATATGATARCAGGTTATATACAGGTTATATACAAGTCAGTCAGTAATAAAAACCTTTGTTAAATCAGTTAATCTGTATTTGACATCTGATTATCTGACCACTAAAAGGGGCTTTAAAAAATTRAATAATATATACTCCCAGTTTCATTACAGAATTATTCATTGTCAGTTGAATTCTGAGGTTGGTGGTTGTGACAACATAGCCAGGGAATACTGCTGACACACATATCCCTTCAGAGAGCGGTTTTGTTCTAGCTCTGACAATGAAAACTGGTATCAGAGTTGCTCTGAATGGGGAATATTCATAGCTCTGGGAGAACAGGAGAGGGAAAGAGATGCGTATTAACAAGTGGCCTGGCGAGAACAAGCCAGATAAAGAAACAGAGACAAAGGACTAGTAAAGCAACAGCAGCTTGTTTGATTTGTGAGAATGTAAAATACAATCCCACAGCAAGGAATGTGGTAAGTAACTAGTGATAGAGGCCCTCTGTTCATGAACACATATCTATTCAGGACAACGTTTCGGGATATGCCAGAAGTGTGTGCCTAAGTGCTGCTCTGGGCAGGAGTGTTGTTGTCAGTAAAACATCTTGTTTTGTTTATTGCAGAACTGCTTAGAATTTATCACAAGTGACAAAGACTGSGAAGCATATGAGGATCCTTAATTTCTCTTGTTTTTTTTATTCCTTTCTGTTTGCCTTCCCCTCCCAGCTTTTTAGGTTTAACTTCCAGAAGTACAACATAAAGTATGGAAGAGCAGAAGAAAGAGGAGAAAACAGAAGAGGATCTCACAGAACCTTTCTTTGAAGCCTTGCTAGAATATCAGTAGGTTTAGTATATTGAACTTTTCGCTCATCTACATTATATTTCTTGAATAAAGTAGACAAAAAAAAAAAGAACTTAATCAGTTGAGAGATTGAATTAATTACCATATAGACTGTGGCAGTTGTTCACTCTTTTGTGTCCTTGTTTGAGGTTTTAAAGCCTATTTCAGAAATGCATGCTTTTCAAACTA